GTTGCTGCAATAATCCACGGCATTTTGTTCTCCCTCTACGGCAATTGCCGCAATAAAATTCAAGCCCTGTTGACGATGCATCTGGAGGACAAATTAGTAATCTATGCATAATATAACTTTTGTAAACAAAGCTAATTTTCTAAAAGTTTATTATAATTTTGTATTAAAATGGTTAATTTTTGCGCTGTATGTGGTTGTTGTACCCGAACAGATAATAGAGAGTTTGAGCAAGAGAACGAAGTCGGACAAGGACGACGTGGTTGACAATTTTTGCCTGTCTTGCACATTACCTTGCGCATTCTGAGTTTAGAGTCAGGAGTGAAGACAGATTAGAGATTCATGTCTAGCTGTTTGTGAATGCTGACTCAAATCCTTACCCTGATCAGGATAAAACGGCGAGACATGAATCCATATCCCGTCTTCGTTCACAACGAATATTTTGGCAAAATTCGTTGTGAACTTCGTTCTGCACGAAGGCAGAAGGACAAAGACGGGATATAGTTTCATGTCTCGTTGTTCCCTTCTGGATCAGGGCAAGAATTATGGTCAGTATTCATAAACAGCGACACATGGGAAGACACGTTGAGCAACCACCAGTGACGTCCAACTCAGTATGCGTAAGATAATGTGCAGGCGGCAAAAATTGTCAAGTATGCCTTCGTCTTCGTACTTCGTTGTCTTGCTCAAACTCTCTTGTTAGGGAGCATCTGGAGGACACTCTAAGGATTTGTGACGTCAGCGCAATGGGTCTATATCATATGATCCCATGCTTTACCTGGGTTTGAGGTAAACGTAGCGGTGTTGATGTCAATGTGGTTGAAACATTATGAACCAAGATGTCCCCATTCGTTGTTCCTGAGGCAATGTTTGTATCATTCCAGTTGAACGTCACACAGTTTACTACATCTGAATTATTCTGAGAAATCAAAGCATCACGATCAGAATAGTTGACGAATTAAAAAAAAACATTGGCACAAATGCAACATCAAAACATACAGTATTGTTTAGAGGAGAAATTACAGCATGGAAAATATTGAGTGGGCTATTGACTTGAACACTGAAGAATGAATGCTAACACATAACCTATATATTTAACCACTCCACCAATGAGATGCATTTAATCCACCCGATTAGCCAATCAAATGTGTACTAAGCCTGAACTTCTTTAATATTTGTACTTTACAAGATATTTGCCTTAATTTTTTTCTTGATTGATCTTGTCTTCAGATCCCAGAAGTTCAAAATTTTATTTTTTCCAGCAGTCAGTAAATGTCTTGATGAGGAGCTGAATGCCAGGCATGTGTCATCTTCCTGCAAATGAACAGAATAATTGAATACAACAAATCTTCCCATTATAGACGAATTTTAAAACTAGGCAAGGAGATGCAAATAAATCACCACAGCTAGAAAGAGCATACTAAAATGAGTAAAATTGCAAAGTTTGTTTGCGAAATGTTGTAAAATATAGCCTTGCAATGTTTGCAAATTTTGTATACTTTTGTATTACGTGCGGAAATTGTTACCATTTTCGGTCCAAAAATGGCAACAATTTCCGCACGTAATACAGTCACACATATACAAAATATGCAAACTTCGCAAGGCGTTATTTTCCGTATTTTGTACAACATTTTGTAACCAAATTTTGCAATTTTACTAATTTTAATACGTTCTTTACGGGGATTTACCTTTTTTTTTGCCTTGATAAAAAATTAGTCTAACACGCAAGTTGTCTATTGAATACGATACATCTTCTTAATTCCAGCCATGTACAAGGGGAAGGGCTGAGTTTGCTGAACACATACATGAGAAACAAACAGTCCCATACACTGGGGGGATGGGGCGGGAGGAGGGGGGGGGGGGGGGGGGGGAGGCAACCTCCTCCCACCCCCAGTTATTTCTGGCAGCCTGTGAATGATAGCTGAATAACTTTGTAACAGTAAACAAATTTCAAATCAAATCAACCTAAATCCAACCCCAATATTTTGCCAAGCGCCTGCCACTGGAAATGAAGTGAATTCACATGAATCAATACAGTCATGTGTTTTGTAATTGTGAGGGGGAAGGAAGGTGGGGCAATGGCTTATTCGAGGAGGGGGGGGGGAATTCTAGGTAAAAAATAACTAGTTCAACACTTTAAAATTGTGGCAATTGATACACCAGGAGGAAATCTTGAAGATGTTGTATTGTAAACAACAAAACATTAGCTATTACAGTCGTGTCAATAGAAGTGTTCCGAAAAATGTTGATCAATTCATTTCCTAACTTCAAGGAGTTCCTCTGAACAATTCCTCAGCAATTTGATAAGTTCCTTAAAAAGTTCCTGTTTCATTGACCAATCAAATTTTATATTTTATTTTTGAGCAATCTGATTGGTCAATGAAACAGGAAGTTAGGAACTTTTTAAGGAACTTATCAAATTGTTGAGGAATTGTTCAGAGGAACTCCTCAAGTTAGGAAATGAATTGATCAACATTTTTTGGAACGCTTCTACTGGCACGACTGTAAATCTTTAACTTTATTTTGTTTGGTTTTAAAGTTATTTGCTAGGCTCTGCTTTTTATCTTTAAATTTAGTTCAACACTTACACAACCGTGTAGCTCAATTGAAGTTGGTGTTGGTTTATTAAATGACGTCACTACCACAGGATCTCCCAAAGCAGTACTGGCCAGGAAATTGTCTGTGGGTTTGTTAAGATGAAACTTAAACTAAATTTATACTGGACAGTCTTTCTATTCTAAACTGTCCTTTACAGAAATATAGGTAAAGAAAACCAAAATGGTCCAATGTTTTGATTGATTCATGATATATTTAGCAGTTTTAATTATAATAAGATTGTTATTGTTATTGTGTGACATTGACATTTCTCCTGGTATATTAAGTTCCTACACAGAAATTATTGCAATTATGGAAATATGTGCAATTTTCAGATTGTTAAAAAACTGCAAATAATTTCTGAAGAATCTGCACAAAATGCCTGAGTCTGTGAATCAAGCAGACTTCTGATCTTCCTATTAGGCAGATGGAATTAAGGTATTTTTCATTATTCATTATTTTTCATGATTTGAATTTGGCAAATTCTGAGCTAAAAATTTGAATTGCGACCAATAAAATCTAAGAAAATTTTGACGACTCTTCAGCTTTTTACTAGCTTCCGAGCTATCAGCTATATATGTCTTTGACTCCATTTCGCCGTGGCTTCGCTAACTGTATAAACAAAGTCAGTATTTGCCAAAAATTTGAACAGAAAGCCATTTTTGAAACACTTGCTATACAAATTTGACAAATGAAAAAATATTGAAATAATGAAAATTTCACACGGCTGTCAATAACACATGCGGGCGGGTGATGGTAACTGATAACTTAATTCCATTGGCCTTAGACAAAAACACTCTGACTGCAGGATCCCTTGGTCTGCCATAAATGTTCCGTGAAAATATCTGACATTTCTGCACATTTTCCCCAAGGAAAAATATTTCCTTGGAACACATGGAGCTTTTTGAAACACAAACAATGTCTCAATAGAAAAATATTGTTTTGCCTACACTAAGCATGTTTTGGCAAACTGTCTTCAGTCTAGACATTTTGTCTGACGACCTACATTGCCACAAAGTATTAACAACGAAGAAACAATATTTTTATTGTCTAGAACATTCCAAATAGTTCTTAAAATGCCAATATAAACCTTCAAATATTGGTCTTGCAGCAACATACAAAATGTATTACAGTTTTAAAATAACAAGATTGTAGATATAACAGCTGCACACGCTTTAAGAACTATATATTTAGTACAAAAACATAATACATTGTCTTTGCAATTGTGTACACAGAACCACAGACAGAACTACAAGATAATTATAACACAAATTTTTCATTAACTATACAAAACATAAACACATATAATTAAGCAATTTACGGTTACAAAAATAGCCAATAAACTTAAACAATATTAACAAGTAATTATGATAACTTCTCAATCTGTCATATTTATAAAAACAAGGATACTATTCGGGCTCCAAGCAAGCGAACTCAAAGCATTTGAGTGAGGTTTGAGGTTATGAAGTGGTCTTAGTCCCGGCCATTCCCAAACCTTTATATCATCGCCTCCAGAAACAAGTTTTAAACTATCTGCCATACTGATTGCTCAGGTACACTTCTGTTTCATTTTCATTACATTTTGTTAACAAAATCGTTCATAAATTATTCACTATAAACAAGCGAAAATGAACAACAACAGCCGCCATTTTTTTTCAAGAGTATGTTTACCCGCTGACACATTGTAACGCTGGCTCATTGAAAATTTTTTTTAACATTTTCTATTCTTCAATTTTATTTGAAATATTTTGAAAGCCATAAAATAAAAGCTATGAAAAACCATTGCTTTTGTAACTGAGAGTTGGAAAAATCACCGATTTATTCTTTTACTGCAGTAAAAGATTAAAATACGGTCCAAAAACCGCATGTATTAATATATGGGTTTTAATCATCAGTGGTTTTAATTAAATGCAATAAAAAGCAATCAATTACTTTCCGGTAACAGCAATATCACTAAATTTAATAAAGACCTATTAAATATATATGCCCTTTCATTGTACCTTAAATTTATCGTCAGGGAGACAACGGCATTAATCGGAAAAATATTAAAATAGCATTTTCGTTTACATTACCGGGACCACGCATTTATCGACAAAGAATGAATGCGATTGTGGTATATTCCACTTCTTTCTTTTAATCTTAGAAAATTTTATTGCGTTTCACAATAGGGTTCTTCAATCCTGAATATAGTATACAGATTTTCCTACTCAGGTCTTAAGTAATGTATATTACTGAGTTTCAAATGTTGACTTAGTCGCACTGGTCAAACTCGGCTTCATCATGAACACCTTTATATTTTTATGAAAAAGTAAAAAAAGATGCTTGTGTGATGTTACTCTGAGTGTATATCCACACCGGGCAGGCCTGAAAAATATGCCTGGCCACGGTGGGATTCGAACCTACGACCTTTGGAATACTAGCCCAATGCTCTGCCAACTGAGCTACGCGGTCAGGTTGCTCAGTTGCGTAGCTCAGTTGGCAGAGCATTGGGCTAGTATTCCAAAGGTCGTAGGTTCGAATCCCACCGTGGCCAGGCATATTTTTTCAGGCCTGCCCGGTGTGGATATACACTCAGAGTAACATCACACAAGCATCTTATTCACCTGAATACATTACACCAACACAGCAAATTTCAAAGTAAAAAAAGTTCCACACAATTAAAATAATATTAAATTAATATTTTTCTTCATTATTGAACTATTTATAAAATAACGATTCTGATTAAAAACTCCTCTGCTAATGATCAAAATAACTTTCAAAAAATGGCGCGCTAAACGCTTCCTTTGTCATCAATTTTCTAACAGTATTCAAGTCGTACTGCCTCAATGCTTTATGCGTATTCTTATAACTTTCAAAAGGATCCTTATAACAAATTTTAGTACCTAAAATATTGTTATTATCTACAAGATTTCTTGCTAAAATAGTAGTTTTATAAATTTTGTAATCTGCATTCTTAAAAAACGCCCATTTATGCTCGGGACTTTGGTTCTGAAAATCGGACCAAATTTTATCCAAAAATGCATGATGTAGCATGAACTCAGGGGATCTGCTGCCGTATTTATCCCCCATTGTCCCGCCTATCCTCCAGTGTATGACGTCATGAATGAAGTTACGAATGTAGTCTTCGAACTGCGTGAAGTTCGTGGGCTCGTACCGCAATGCACGATGGATGGTCATGATGCCGGGAAGGACCCCTAAAATGAAAAGTAGGTGCAAAGTAAGAAGAGAAGTAAAAGAATCTGAGATATCAGTTGTGAGTTGAAATTAGGACAATACAGGGTGTATGATTCAGAAAGAAAGGAATTTCATGCTTGGGGATGTACAGTATAACGTGGATAATTAGAACGTATTTTTAAATCCCTAGAGAAAAAAATAAAGTTGCACAGGCATTGAAATGCTAAATAGCAGTGGTTGCAAATTATAGGGAAGCAGTTTTTTGAGACGTTTGTTTATACCTAATTCACAAATTTAGATAATTCATATGCTTAGTTACTATTGCTCTAGTTTACAGAGGCATAGAATAGAACAAAGGTAACCAAGCTTTAGAATTATCTACACGAGTGAATAACTCTTACACATAATTCTAAAGCTTAGTTGCCTTTGTTCTATTCTATGCTTCTGTGAACCAAAACAATAGTAACTAGGCATGTGAGTTATATCTAAAGTTGTGAATTGCGTAGCAACGATGTAAACAGCCAAATTTGTCTACTGCTAGCAGTCAGTAAGATATTTTGTGAGATATTAGTTCCAGTTTTAAGTAATTTTGTTAGTGAAGAACACGTGAACCCTGACTCTTTCCACGTGTTCATATCTGCGGGTGTTCATCCTAAAGGCTAGTTTCCACTCAGGAAAATTATCCGTTGATTGGAACGGACAAGAAAATTTTTCTTTGTGTTGAAGTCATTAGTTCCAACCCAGAGCTCACAAGACAAAGAAAAACTTTCTTGTCCGTTTCAATCCACGGATAATTTTCCTGAGTGGAAACAAGCCTTTACACGTAACGGTATTTCCTTACCATTAAATTTTCTCTCCAGGCACGTCCGTCCACCATTTCCCGTCACGATTCCCCACTGGTCACGTGCAAACGGACCATTGGTCACGCACCCAGTGACGTCATCACCATTCCCTCCCAGGCCCCAGGGTTGCGCACTCCATATATCGAGCGTCGATGTCCTCCAAGGCGAAAGATGCGATAAACTCCAGTCCCAGTATGGGAGGGTCACACTTCGGTCAACCTTAAAATATAAAGGCCATGTTACACGAGGAAATTTTGCTGCAATTTCGGATACAGACCCATGTTATCTAAAAAGTAGTCTCAAGGAAATTGTCAGCATGGCCTACACGCGTAAAAACGCACAAGTTGTAACGAACCTGCAGCAGACTCGTAGCCGAATGCTGCTACAACAACTTGTCAACAGGATGTGTTCGCACTGCTTGTTCCCAGCTTGTTGACAAGTTGTCAACGACCTGTTGACAACTTGTTACAAGGTTGTTGAGTTCAACAGACTTGTTACAAGTTGTTCCAACAACTCGTTATCGTCCTGCAATTCCACAACTTGTTAAAGTTAACAAGTTGTGCGTAACAACCTTGCAGCAACTTGATAAAATAACAGCATTGTTACCGAACTTGTTGACAAGCTTGCTACAAGCCTTTTGCAAACACATCTTTTTGACAAGTTGTGAGATTTTTACGTGTGTAGATTCTACTCTGCTGACCTTTGTTTATACATAAAAATTACGGATGAAATACTAAAGAAATGGGATGAAAAATGTCGGTAAAACGAACCGTGGGCCATGCTCACAATTCGGCAATGCGACAGCTTTTATAGATAACATCGCTCAATGTCAGAAGCTGCGTTGTAAGACAAAGAGATAAATAGGCAGATATATACCTCCTGCAAAAGCTTCTCAACATTTCGTAACATCAAGCGATGCCAAGGAAAGAATTGCTTTTTTGTGTGGATATGAATGGCTAACTTGGGATGATCAAGGATCAGTGCTTCATAGCGAGATTTATAGGGTTCCTTGGTGGTAATTGTTTTATACGTTTGTATAAAACGCATGCGCTCTGCGATTGACATGAACGTGAATTCTTTCCTCACATTGCATTTTGGGCTTCGAGGCTGGTCACTTTCGGCGAACGTTGATAGCTGTAACAAATCTGCAAAAAAACCCAGAACCAATTGATATATTAATCTACTTCTAAGTTACAATAATTGTGCAGAGGCAGTACATTAATGGTTTTCACTTTGAGCACAGCCCATCGAAGGGAAGATGGCTGTGAAACTCATTCAAATAACAATATAACTCATTATATATGTTGGCCAATGTTTATTCATAAATCTGGTCCTTCACCGTCACGTGTGTAATGTATTGTTGCCAAATCCACCAATAGCAATTTCCAGTTTACCCTATTGTTCGAGTCACGGATAGGTAACTTTTCTAAAACATTGCTATTGGTTAGTTGGGCAAAAATACAATACACACGTGACGGTGAAAGGACCAGATTTATGACTAAACATTGACTAACATAGATGAGTTATATTGTTATTCGAATGAGTTTCACAGTCATCTTCCCTTCGATAGGCTATGCTTTGAGGGACAACCGCCACCAAATAAAAAATTAACTTACTAATATTATAAAATTATTATAAATTATTAAGCCAAATGGTGCTTATAATCCTGTGAATTAAGATGTATGATTCTGCATGGGGCAGTCATGTGCATGTATCTAACGGATACGACTATAAATGCATTGACATTTGGTACTTATTTCAGTATATAGGTATTTTGCACCCCTGGTGAGAAAATCGTGCGTATTTACAAGGCTACTTCATGTGTTAAGCACATCGAGATCTGTTAACCGGAAGAGGACTAAAAGTGATATGTTTCGGGGTTCCCGTTTGTTACACATTTCATTCAAGTCCCCACGCAACGGGATCTCTGTAATTGCGATCTATATAGTATCCACTCTTATACACGCGTTCTTGAACTTGTGCCATCTTTAATAAAATGATCTCATGTTATGAAGAACTTATGAATGATTTCAACTTATACAATATATGAACAGTTTTATGATACACAAATATTCTGGCCCATATACATTTCTAACACATTTCTGTCCTTTAACGAGCATGTCTATATAATTACATTATAATTAAGTGTTTTTATAAATATAATTAAGTGTTTTTATAAATTTGTTTAGCCTGCCACGTTTGTTAAACTGAGTGATTTCGATGAATCATTCTGTACTTTAAACCACTTCTAGACAGATCATTTATAACGACGATTCTGTCTAATATTTGCCCACACTAACAACAGATGAACTGAAGATAATTTCTGTATAATTCCATACCTTCCTGCTGAAAAGAATACGATGTTTCTGTGAAGCCAGTGAAAAACAAAACCCACACAACATTACAGTATAAATTTTTCCAATCCATCATCTTTTATTAGTTCTTCATCTTGAAAAACCTGATCACGGTCACAGAGGAATATTTTCTTCAATTATCTAGAAAGTTGTCTTTCAGTTGAAGTGGGTGTTCGTCGACGGGGTGCCATGGCAATATTGATATATAAATGAAAAATCTTTTAAACATCCGTTCTTTATCTTCAGATAACACACTACAATATCACAGTTCAATGTTTAACTGAATTGATGTCAACCGTGCACGTTTGGATGGCATGATAATTTTAGAAAAAATTAACCATCGGTTTTTGGCGTATGTGTATATATAGTGGTCTTGAAACACAGCAGGGGCCGATTGTTCAAAGGTGGGTTAGTGCTAACCCTGGGTTAAAATTTAACCTGCTGTTTTAGTTTGTGTATTTCTGCACATCTGTTTATTTCAAGACTTCAGAGAGGTAAACTTCTATCTATCCAGACAAGATCTCTGAAGAAATATTTCCAAATTTATAGACAAGCTGTCAGGAAGTTTGCTTTGAATTTTAGGTTAACCTAGGGTTAAACTAACCCAGCTTTGAACAACCGACCCCTGGTCAGTATAGATATATTTGGGTTGTTTGGAGATATAGTTGATGTCGTTTGGTTGACACTAGCTTTTTTAAGTTAAAAAAGTTGAAAGAACATTTCGATCAAGCCAAAAAAAGGTTTAGATTTTGACTTCCACTATTCCATTACCGTTACCTCTCACAGGCTTTATACGCATTTGATTGGTTAGTTGGATAGATTAAACGCATTTGATTGGTTAGTTGGATAGATTAAACGCATCTGATTGGTTAATGGAAGCGGAGTGCAAGTCAAAATCTGAACCTCTCTCTATCACGATCTTGTTCAGGAACTATTGATCGACTATAATGAGAATGTTTCCATCAAACTACGACTGTATGCCTTATTTAGCAAACTGTCAGAAATAGGTACAAACATTTGCTATGTAGTATGCTAATTGCTATAAGTAAGCTAAAAATAATTATATATACAATAGAATTTGCTAAGAAGGTCTTCATATGTGCTGAAATTCTATAGCTACATGTTCGTTGTGCTTTTTCACAATGTTTGCAATGTCAAGTATTCTTTTAACTATTCTTTCAACTTTTTTAATTAAGTTGAAGAAGCTAGGGTCAACAAAAAAAACCAACCAAATATATTACAGTACGTAGCTGTAACTATGGATTTTTTTGGTAGAAACGTGCTAAAGTGAACATCTTTCCTAAAATGGGAGTTATGTTGTTCAGGTTATCTAAAATCGATAGCCTGAAAAATCTTTTACACTTGGTTGAAAGACATTCTGAAGTCTTCAGTTGAGTAAAATAGGAAGTAGGGCACATTGGGGCACAATGCAACTTAACGATTAATATTCATATTTTGCCAGTTGTTTTTTCATAGCCCAATCAAGGAGGGTCACGTTTAAGTTGAATTTTTATGGAGAGGAAATTGCCCTCCTTGTCTCTTTCGCCCAGAGTATGACCTCCTCCCAATAACTTCTAAAATAATGACCAGGATGATTCGTTTAATTAATAAAGCTTTGATAACCCCCAAAATGACATTTCAAAGTTAAATTAGTTTAGTTTGATTTTAGTAACAGTATAAAGTTCATTCAAACGTGCTTTTTTGGCCAGGAAAAAATTTTCGTGATACGATTCATACCGACTGCATGGGCAGCCTGGTCGGGCTCATATGAACAGCCTCCTATATATATAATCTTACATTTATCGAATCGTATACTGCATGAAAACTAAAAGAAATGTATACTACTGTAGTAAAGTTTAGAAACTGTGTTATAGATAATAGATTAGTATATACTAAAACTGTCTGTACCAGTGTAGGTAGTACCAATGTGAAAATGCTGTGCTGAGTGGATATATTACTACCTTAAACAACAAGCAGAAACTGGACGTTTCGAGCAAAGGCCCTTCGTCAAGAGTTGGTAGCTACTAACGAAAGGCCCTTCGTCAAGTTTCTACTAACTCTTGACAAAGGGCCTTCGCTCGAAACGTCGAGTTTCTGCTTGTTTTTTAAGGTAGTAATATAACCACTCAGCACAGCATTTTTTAATAGATTAGTATACAGTGTCTAAAGGCATGTTTATACACTTGCAATTGACCATTTGCGTAATAGACTAAATTTTGATCTCAACAAAAATTTCATTACAGCTTGAAAGAGCATCACAAAAGTAGTAATATTCCAAAGTTTCGTTGCAAAATGTTGTAAAATGCGGAAAATATAGCCTTGCGAAATTTGCAATTTTCAGTCATTTTAGATTACAAACCGGAAATTGACAGCCTCGAAGGGTTTGG